CCAAGCTCAGTGTTTCTAAAGGATTTGAAAGATGGGAAGTAATAAAGAAATGCTAATCACAATCTCTGAATATCTGAATACCCTTGCATCTTGACCAAACATGTTTATCTAGAAACCTTGGCTACCTAGAGTGGCATGTCCCCCAAATCTTCAGAGACTGGAAGTCCTAGGATGGGGAAGGTGTCTTATCATGGCTCACACAAAATGAAACTCAACTTTATTTCATCAGTAACAGGATTCTGGAGTGGCCATTATTTTGATAATCTTGACTTTAAATCTAGGGCGGGAGATGGCAGGCAGGATCCACTAACAATGCAGGAAAAGGTCTTTTCATACTTTCTTAAGGACACACTGCATATTTTCTTTATAGAGGCCCCAGTGGAGGTCTTCACTGATGGACATCACTCATTTCTCACTGAGCTCACTCATGAGTGGCCCGCTTAAATTACACTAGCAGAGTGAAGGTTCTCAGGAAGGGTAGATCTCAGAGTAAAGATTTAAATAGTTTGTGTCTCATTCAGGAAAGCAAATGTCCTCCCTTGGAGACAATACTTAGGCAAGTCTGAGAATTGAAGAAAAGCAATGTCACCATCCTCCCCAAAGTGCTGCAGGATTCATTTCACCTGAATTCAAGTGACACGAGGGGGGTCTGCTTAGCTTAGGAAAATATTTCTTTACCCACAATGTGTCTTTGGGTTGATCTTTAATCTGTGACAGTACTATAGCTCCAGTAGTAATGTTTTCTCTGCAACTCTAATTTGAGAGCCGTGGCTGCCAATAACAAGAGAAACAGAAGAACTGAGGCTATTATATGGTTGATACAGTGGCCAAATTAGCCAGCTACTGCTGACGCTCCCCATCTTTGTGCATAGCTCCTATCCCTCCATTATTTCATAGCTTATTCTTATCTAAAATAGGAATAAACTCATAATAAAATGTCAATAATATTGTGGCAGACACTGCAGTTGCCTACCCAATATGCATTCCCTTTTTTCTTACTGTTTGTTTTAGGTGGCAAAGTGCCCAGTTAAAACTACAGTTCCCAGCATCCATTGCATCCAGAGGTGACCATGTGACACAGTCCTGCCCAATGAGATGTAAGTGGAGGGTGCTGGGTGGCCCTGCTGAATGGGAGGCGGAGTCAGTTTGCCTCTGCCTTTCTCCCTTCCACCTTCTGCCTGAAATGTGGGTACAAATGCTCGAATGGAAGGAGGCAGCCGGCAGGCACGAGGATGAAGGCTATCCTCTAAAGGTGGCAGGAGGGAAAGATGGGGGGCCTGGGTCTCTGATGGCATCGTAGAGCCATCTTACCAGTCCTGGAATGGTGACCTCTGAACTTTTACCTTTATCATCAACGTTCATGTTAATCGTGACAATGCTACAGCACCAGTATCGTTCCCTGTTGTGACTCTAACTCTGACTCTCAGTAAAAAAGGGAGAAGGCCTGTGTAGCTAAGTGACTCCAAGTGGAGTTCCCTGCTCCTGGCAATGGGACACAAGCCCCAGCTGATGAGGTGCTGACCGGGCAGTTAGAGAATCACGGTGAACTTCACAGGGGCAGCCGGCTACAGACAGATGCTCAGCTCTGCGGCTAACTTTCCTGATAGCTCATGCCAATCTTCTCAGTTTCAGCATCTATACATTGCATAACTCAAGTCTATTACTCACCGTGCAATGTAATATTTCCTTTAATTTGTCCTAAAATACTATCCTTAAATTTCAAGGAGTTTGCCCTTGCTAAAAGGAACCAGAGCTCCTTGGAGAAATAAATGGCTGATTCCAGAGCTTGGGAAGGAAAGCATAGGTGAGTTCGGGATACTTTACTGTAGCAGAAGGCAAGGAAGCTCCCAGTGACTAACAGTGTCCTCTTTAAAGATCATAGGAGCCAGCTTGAAGGGCCCCACTGCACAAAGATTAGACAATTTGGGCATCAAAACAAAA